ATATATATATATATATATATATATATATATAAGCATATATATATATATATATATATATATATATATATATATATATTTCTATATATATATATATATAGATAGATAGATAGATAGATAGATAGAGAGAGAGATAAATAGGTAAACAGATAGATAGAGATATATGTATACATAATATATATATGTATATATATATATATATATGTATATATATATATATGTATATATATATATATATGTATATATATATATACATATATATATATATATATATATATATATATATATATATATATATATGTGTGTGTGTGTGTGTGTGTGTGTGTGTGTGTGTGTGTGTGTGTGTGTGTGTGTATATATATATATATATTATGTATACATATATGTCTATCTATCTGTTTACCTATTTATCTCTCTCTCTCTCTCTCTCTTTCTCTCTCTCTCTCTCTATATATATATACATACATACATATGTATATACATACATAAATATATATATATATAAAAATATACATATGCATATACATGTATATGTATACATACATACATATATATATGTATATATATTTTATATATACACATATTATATATATATATATAAAGATAAATATATACATATTTATACACTATCTAGATACTTAGATACACACACACACGCACACACATAAATATACATGTGTATATATACACATATGTGTAGATACATATGTATTCATATAAATACATACATATATATGTATACATATATGCATATATACATAAATAATAAATATAGATGGATAGGTAGATAGATGGACTGTGTATGCCGGCAGACAAGGAGACTCCTAAAATTCTTGTGTAGGCCTATATTCGCACGATATAACTACCCTGGAAACAAAGCCGCTACACTTTATGGTATGAAAAAACTAAGGTATCTCATAAGCAATTTTATAACTTCTGAAACATTTTAGTCGCAAGTGAGTCCTTATCCAGAGTGAATACCAGTCTAAGCTACCCTATGAATTAAGTCACATTTAAGTTATTATCGTATCTACGTGTAACAGTCTTATCACACTTGTACCTTTTCCGTCAAGTTTTTCGAGTCCGAGTGAATAATAAATCATTCGCGCAAATCTTGATCTTATTTCGTTTTGTTTTAATGATGAATTAGATATTAGTTGATATAAACGCAAGTTAATATTCTAGAATGCTTTTTTTTTCAATTGACGTTATGTGTATGAGAATGCTCGTGTGAATCCCGGAACCTCGCTCGGATGTTCGTTTACGTGAGCTTTACGTTCGCTGCCTTGGGAGTGTGATACAATCAGTTCATTTCATAAGGAAAGTTCACACGAGGACGCAAACATTGACGGAAGTGTTAATGTTATTAGGCCTTTTTGCTAAACATGAGTTTCAGTAGGAAATGACTGTGGTTTATCTTTTATATTCTGCTTGCAAGTCGACGCCTGGTTTTCGAGAGATTTTTAGGCTTCAGATATCGACTATACACTCACACGCACACGCACGTGGGTGTGGGTACGTGTGCATGGGTGTGTGCGTGTATGGGTCTATGTATTTGTTTATATGCATATTCAAATACATATACATATGTGTACATGTATATATCTATATATATGTAAATGTATGTATATACATATTATGCAATATACTTCAGTCTCACTCTCTCTCTCTCTCTCTAGATATATATATATATATATATATATATATATATATATGTATACACACACACACACACACACACACACACACACATATATATATATATATATATATATATATATATATATATATATATATATATATATATGTAAATATATGTATATACATATTATACAATATACTACAGCCTCTCTCTCTCTCTCTCTCTCTCTCTCTCTCTCTCTCTCTCTCTCTATATATATATATATATATATATATATATATATATATATATATATATATATATACACCCACACATATATACATGTGTGCCTATGTGCGTATTTTTTGTTAGCAGGAGCAACATTATCCTTACCTTTATCCATATTTCATTATCACTATAATAATCATCCATACTATTACCTTCATTCTTACTATCTTTTATTGTTATTATCAATCCTATCATTATTGTCTTTGCTGTTATTTAATAGGAAAACAGCCACAACAAGAAATTAAATTAAATCATGACGTTTCGAACACGACAAGTTTTCCCTCTTAGACGGATAAATAACCGAAATGGTGACCGTTTGCCTAGCTATCTCTGTGTCCACGTTACTGTGTTTGTTCTTGTGTTCATTAATGAACACAAGAACAAACACAGTAACGTGGACATTATCATTATAGTCCTCATTATTATTATCATTATCACTATTATTACTACTATGATTATTATTATTATTATCATTATCACTATTATTACTACTATGATTATTATTATTATTATCATTAGTATTACTTTTATTACCATTGTTATTAATTTTATTTTGTTGTTGTTACTATCATTATCATTATCATTTTTATCATCATTATTATCATCATCATAACAAATATCATCATAATTACTGTTATCACATTTCTATTATCATTATTGTTATTATTATTATTATCATTATCACTATTATTACTACTATGATTATTATTATTATTATCATTATCACTATTATTACTACTATGATTATTATTATTATTATCATTATCACTATTATTACTACTATGATTATTATTATTATTATCACCATCATTAATTTATTATCATTATTATCACCATCATTAATTTATTATCATTATTATCACCATCATTAATTTATTATCATTATTATCACCATCATTAATTTATTATCATTATTATCACCATCATTAATTTATTATCATTATTATCACCATCATTAATTTATTATCATTATTATCACCATCATTAATTTATTATCATTATTATCACCATCATCATCATCATCACCATTGACTTTTCTCTCATCCTCATCATAACCCAGATCACCCAAAGCGAGATAACCTACAGTAATTGATCTCAGCGTTTACAGGTGTTGGTAATTAGTGTGCCCTTTAACTAACTGCAATTTTTTTTCCAATTGACGTTATGTGTATGAGAATGCTCGTGTGAATCCCGGAACCTCGCTCGGATGTTCGTTTACGTGAGCTTTACGTTCGCTGCCTTGGGAGTGTGATACAATCAGTTCATTTCATAAGGAAAGTTCACACGAGGACGCAAACATTGACGGAAGTGTTAATGTTATTAGGCCTTTTTGCTAAACATGAGTTTCAGTAGGAAATGACTGTGGTTTATCTTTTATATTCTGCTTGCAAGTCGACGCCTGGTTTTCGAGAGATTTTTAGGCTTCAGATATCGACTATACACTCACACGCACACGCACGTGGGTGTGGGTACGTGTGCATGGGTGTGTGCGTGTATGGGTCTA